CAACTTCCTGTGCTCAATAAAGTGATTATCCTACCTCATCCTCCCAAGAAGCCGGGACTACAGGTGTATACCACCATGCCTCGTTAATCAAAAGAAAAAAACTGTAATGTAGAGATGGAGCTTTCACCATGTTGCAGGCTGGTGTTGAACTCTTGGGCTCAAACCATCCTCCTACCTTGGCCTCCCAAAGTACTGGGATTACAGGCATGAGCCTCCACGCGCAGCTGATCTGAGGGAATCTTAAGAGCCAAAATGGGGGTATGCGTTCCTCCAGAGATCTGTGTTTGCTTCTGAAAGTAGGGAGTTGACTCTACTGGCCTAGGAGCAGTTGAGATGATTGAGCTCCTTTTGAGAGTCTTGGCTTAACACAAGAATCTCTCTTTCAGCTCTTCTAACGTAAGAGTTGGGGGAACCCAAGACTCATCACTGGTTTCCAGATCCATATGTCAATATTAACATTTGTTCCCAGCATCTCTCCCTTTCTGACTTCAAAGCAGTTATCTATCCCTTTTTTTTCCCCCCTCTCCCTTTTTTTTTTTTTTGCTTTTTTTGGTATTAGGAGCTTTCTCTTACTTTTTATGAGCTTTTAAAAGGTATGCTATTCATGATCTAATAGGTATTATGTTTTATAGTCCAAATAATAATATAATATTTTATATTTTGAGAAGGGATAGTACCCTAAAATTATTTTGGTGATGGAGTTTTTAGTACTATAAATCCTATTCAAATAATATTTGAGGCAAAATAATCTGAGTAACAATAATCTACTTATAGTAGCTATATTAATTTTAGAGGAGAGCAGAACAAGAAAAATTATCAGGGATAAAAAGGGATAGTACAAAATGATAAAGGGGTCAATTTTTCATGAAAACATAACAATCCTTAAATGTATATCTGCCTAACAGACTGTCAAAATACCTGAGACCAAAACGAACTCTATTTATATTCATTAATAAAGAGAAATAGAAAACCTCTCTAATAATTCATTTATTTCCCCATATTTTCCCTAAGTTTTAAATATTAGGTTGGTGCAAAAGTAATTGCCGTTTTGGCTATTACTGTAAAAATGTCAGTTCTTTCTTTTTAAATTGAAAATGATTTATATATGTATAAAAGAAAAAATAATCAAAACCTCTACAGAGACCTGGAGGCTTATTTTATTATTTGGCTTAGAAGTTTGCCTAATTATTTAAAAATATGGTAAAGCTATGGGCTATTCCTCTCGAAAAATGTACACACAACATAAACATTTACTTTCCACACAAGTTCACATGGCACTTATATAACTTACTATATAATTTTGTAGGGAATATACAGTCTCCCCCACTAAACTCCCCCCAGTGTATATCCCAGAATCCCCAAGGACACTTCACAGAAACAAGGATAAGAACCATTGGCTTAGTATTTGAATTACAGAAACGATGTAGACAACTGAGCCACACATACATTACTTTCTCAGCTTCCTCAGATTCTACAGAGACCATGACTGCGGGCAAGTCAAAAAATTTCAGTGTTTCTGTCTCTGTGAGTATTATCTCTATATTCTTCTCCAGGTCTTCTTTTGTTATCACTGTTTCAGGTGCCGCCCTCATAACTCGCAAATCTAAAATACATGATTAAATTATTAAAAATAATTAATTAAAAATCATTTATCAATTGCTATTTTTAATTTGCATTTTTCCTTCTAGTCACCAAAATACCATAATGGGTAATATATTGCAGGTGGTTTATATAGTCAAGGAACAGGCCAGGCTGTGAGATGCAGTCTGTTCAACTTTTCTGAAGCCAAATTGGATCGTGTAGGCCATAAACAGTCTTCCTTGCTGATATAACAAGGCTACCCCAGTCTAATACCTACAGTCATAACTCTAAGGGCATTCCATTATAACTATCCCATAATATTAATTGGGAACTGGGGTTAGTGATTGTTGGTACTACTCAAGACTATGGAGGCAAGTACATTTAGGGAACATAATAAGCAACACTTCTTTGAGCCATGAAGTTAGCTTCTAATTTGTAGCTTTAGCAAACTTGTATCTTTCATTTGCCCTCATTAGCTGTCTTCTAATTTAGATGCCATTCCACCTCTAATCATCTTCACCAGGGGTAGAAAGATTCTCCTATATTAGTTCTGGTTGACTATAGAAATAAAATGGGCACCAATGTCCATGCAAATAATACAGTGAAAATAATTGGCCATAAACCTTTAGGACAGTCAGAAGTTGATCCAAGGTCACTGGAAAATTTCACTGAGAATTGGCTTTCACAGCTAGGAGCGTGTAGAATTGGTTATGTGAGTAACAGCCATGAGAAAGTATATAAATGAGAGTTCAATATTTTCTATCAACAGAGTGTACAGCAGACATTCATGAGCTTTTGGGATAGGTAAAGCTTGGACAGCTTTAGGAAAACTTAAGAACATACACTTTCCAGCATCTCAGTCTCCTCTTAAAAAGGTTAGAGCTGAGAAAAACACCTTCCTTATAATCTAAAAAAAATACAAGTTATTAACACCAAAAACTAATCACCAATATTTTGAACAGCTAAATAAATTATGGTATGCCCATATATGACTATTAAGTAGTAAGTAATGTAATAATAAAAAATTTTGAAAATATATTCTAAAATATTAAATGACAAAGCAGTTCAGAACATGATCTACACTATGGTAATAGGAATGTAAAATATTATGCAGATGGACAAGGTCAGGAAACAGAAAATTTTAAATTGTAAATTTTCTTTCATTTTAGGGTGATTCTTCTTTTTTTAATCTTTAATTTTATTATTTGTGCAATAAATTTTAAAAATAAGTGAAAGATTTTATTTATATAAGTAAATCTGGCTAAGACAGACAAAATAAGTAAAAAAAGTAAATGAATTATCCACAAGAACAAAATTTAAGGTGTATATTGGCTAAACGTTTTATCAATGAAGAAAATGAAAAACAGAGAGGTTAAGTGAAAAGTCCACACAGGAATACCAGCAGTTTTGAGACTAGAGATTTAAGCTCTTGATTCTATGAGTTTTCTTACTGTTAGACCACCAGATCTTCCTTTATAATTTGGTTATAGATACTTTAAAGTAGCATTGTGGCACAGACATGCTAATTATAAAAATAAATGATCCTACATTAGATATATTACATACATAGAACATAATAGAGTAACATCTCAGTTATTATTGGGAAAGGAATAGTCTAGTCAACCTTCTTGTTGGCAGAGGAACTACCATTCATAGACAAAGCCCTAGGATGGTAAATAGGAATTTTGCCTGGTGTTCTGTATCACCCATTTCCTAAGTGTTGCTTGAATTTAATATGCATTCAGAAACTACCCCCAAACCATACTATTTACCCATAGAATCTATTTCATGAGTCAGATCCCCTAACTTTAGACTGACTATACCACAGATCTTGAGTTCACTTCTCTATCCACGTAGAAAAGAATCACAAATCTATCAGTCTGCTTTGCCTGCTCCTCTTGACTGCCAGTGATGGAGGGAACATCTTGGTTCTTCCCAGAGGAGGGAGCTCTAGCCTAGTATGACAACTATGGCTCCTCTTCACACCTTTACTCATGAAGCCACCTTGGCCTCCCAAAGTGCTGGGATTACAGGCGTGAGCCACGGCGCCCGGCCTGTTTTCCTTTGGTATCTATGTTGCTTGGTATTCTTTTTGTATCTGTGGTTTAGCGTCTGACATTAATTTTGAAATGTTCCCAACAAGTATTACTGCAAGTATTTCTTCTATCTCATTTTCTCCTCTTCTTCTACTCCAATTGTGCATATGTTACCCCTTTTGATATTATCCCACAGTTCTTGAATGACTGTTCTGTTGTTTTTTTTTTCCATTTGTTTTCTCTTTGCATTTTAGTTTGAGAAGTTTTTATTGGACTATCTTCAAATTAATTCTTTCCTTAACCCTGTCAAGTCAATGGGGCTACAAAGATATTCTTCATTTATGTTGCTGTGTTTTTGATATCTAGCATGTCATGTTGAGTCTTTCAAATAATTTCATCTCTCTGCTGACATTACACATCTTGCACACTGTATACTTTTTCCATTAGATCTCTTAATATATTAATCATAATTATTTAAAATGCCCTGTCTGATAATTTTTAAATTCATATCATCACTGAGTCTGAGTTTGATGCTTGCTTGATCTCTTCAAAATATTTTTTTCTTGCCCTTTAGCATTCCTAATGACTTTGTTGAAAGCCAGACATATTGTATCCTATAAGAGGTGCTGAAGTAATTAGGCTTTCAGCAGAAGAATGTTTAATGTTGTTGTCGATACAGGTATCAAAACATTTCTTGTTTTTGTTTCCCTTCCTGGCTTTCAGGCTTCTCTTTGTACTGCTTTAGAGAAAGTCTATGTCTTGCAATTTTTTCATCTGTAACCAGTGTGGTTACTCTGGAGGTTCCCTGGTGGTAAGTGTGAAGAAGAGAAGTAGTCTACAATCTGATTGAATCTCAGACTTTAAGTGAACCTGTGTCTTGGAGACATGGTGTTCACAAGTACATCTATTCCTACTCCAAGGGTATAGTTGTCTTATTCCTGCCCCTACTCCCTTCCTTGGCTGCAACATTCCCAACTGAATTCCGTAAGCATTGTTAATTTTCCTCCTTAGTTAAGAAATAAAGGCTGGTGCTAGAGTAGAATTCCCTTACCCTAACTGGGCTATAGTATCAAAATTACCCTCTGGCAAATTTCCCCCATCCCCAGATTAGGTCTTTATTAGAAAAAGAGTCCGTGAGTGTTTTAAGGTGGATAAATTCATTCTTTTCCTCCCCTACCAAGGCCACTAGCTCAGATCCTTACTGAAAGAATCCATTAGATTCCTAGAATGAAAGCCCATTTAAATGTGGGCCCTCTCCCATGATTGTGCTCCCCAGCAATTTTTTACTCTTCTACTAGTTAATACTTAGCCTCCAGCAATTCATGAAAATAATCATTCATGTGTTCCTCCAGCTTATGGTAAGTAACTCTTGGGACCTGCATGTCTCCGGATTGTCTGTCTTTCCAGATCTTAAGGTGGCAGTTTGCCCTTGTCACCCCAGTCCTCTGATGAGTCAAAAAAAAGTGAATTTTCAAATTGTCCCACTTTTTCTTGTTATAAGACATGAGTAAGGCCGGGCGCGGTGGCTCAAGCCTGTAATCCCAGCACTTTGGGAGGCCGAGGCGGGTGGATCACGAGGTCAAGAGATCGAGACCATCCTGGTCAACATGGTGAAACCCCGTCTCTACTAAAAATACAAAAAATTAGCTGGGCATGGTGGTGCGTGCCTGTAATCCCAGCTACTCAGGAGGCTGAGGCAGGAGAATTGCCTGAACCCAGGAGGCGGAGGTTGCGGTGAGCTGAGATCGCGCCATTGCACTCCAGCCTGGGTAACATGTGTGAAACTCCGTCTCAAAAAAAAAAAAAAAAGACATGAGTAAATTTCAAATTGTCCAACTTTTTCTTGTTATAAGACATGTCTTGTTATAAGACATAAGTAAACTCTCTGGAATGTAGGATCAGAAACTGGAAGTCCACCCCCAGAATTTTTTATTCAGTAGGTCTGGGAGGGGGCAAGTTTCAAACACGTTTTAAATATATTTTTATCTAGAAGTATATTAGAACAGGCTAATTTCAGGAATTTTGTAAGTCAGTTGTTAAACATAGTCATCACTCTAAATTATATACTTATTATTAAATAAATCATATTAAAAACAAAGATAATAATTACTCAAGGATCATCACTTTCTAATTATGCTATAAATTTTACTACTACCGTCCAGAAGCAGTGGCTCACGCCTGTAATTCCAGCACTTTGGGAAGCCAAGGCAGGTGGATCACTTGAGACCAGCCTGGTGAAACCCTGTCTCTACTAAAAATACAAAAATTAGCCGGGCATGGTGGCAGGTACCTATAATCTCAGCTACTTGGGAGTCTGAGGCAGTAGAATTGCCTGATTCCAGGAAGCAGAGGCTGCAATGGGCCAAGATCATACCACTGCACTCCAGCCTGGGTGACAGAGCTAGACTTTGTCTCAAAAAAAAAAAAAAAAATTACTAGGACATAATCTCTTGCAGTTATCTGAAGTATCTATTGTATCTGTATGGTGGTGTGCTACTAAGTATATATTTGTAACTTCCCATTCAGAAATTTTATGTTGGGAGCTTGAAATCTGCTGGAATGAGAGGATTTATAACATGGAAATTGACAAATGCTGCAAAAAAGGGTTTCCTTACCCCCTGTGTAGGCAGTAAAACATTTATCAGCATACTTACTACTTAGGCCTAAACCCTAATCCCAGATACTGCAATTCAACTGACCTGAATTGAGACACAACTATGGGAATTTGTAAAAGGCATGCCAGGCGACTTTAACATGCATTCTAGAGTGAGAAACACTCTTCTAGAACAGACTAAAAAAGAAGCCAAGGGGGTAGAAGTAGAATTGTTTAGGTGTCATTCACTTTAGAGGCTGACTTCGTAGTTAGAATTCACCAGCAACCGGCCAAGATATGAATATCTACACTGTTTTTCAGGTCTTCTGGAAGTAAATTTGTGCTACTTGTTTTTGATGTAGACAAGCAAAGAAAGGCTTCAAGGCAAATTGTTACATAAAGATTTAGTCTTTATGCTAAGAGCAATGCAAATCCCTTGAAGAGTTAGCTTCTAAGCAAAGGAGGTTTCTAAAAAATCATTCTGGATGTAGTTTGGAAAAATAGATTGGAAGGTGGCAAGAATATCTGTAGAGAAAGCTGGGGGAGGTAATGACAATAATCCAGTTTTCCCTGCCTCCAACTGAGAGAATGAGGTTCTCTCCTGCAGCACTCATTGCTGATTGCTTAGGTTTTTATTCTAAACTCTTTTTCTCTTCCTTTGCCTCTTTCTTTTAATAGTAATAATACAATTAATAGAAAGCTAATGGCTATTAATAAAATTAATAGAAAGCTAAATACTTGATTTTCCAGCCTCTATTAAAGCTAAGGGTGCTCATGTCACAGTTCTGTCCAATGACATGAAAGCAGAAATATACAGGAAGAGGAAAGGCTTCTGGGAAATTTTTTACCTTCCTGGAAAATGAGAGAGATGTGATGGTGCTGTTGCCCTTCTCCTTTCTGTCTTTAATGTGGATATAATGCCCAGAGCTGGGGAAAATATTTTGAGACCATAAGACAAAAAGAAAGGCTTTGGGAAAGTGAAGAGCAGAACTGTCAATCCAGACTCTGACAAAATTAAGTCAAAAAAAAAAAAAAAAATCAAAGCCAAAAGCTACCTTCTTCTTTTATTGTGAGAAAGGTAAATATTTGTTCAAGTTCTTGTTAGTTAAGTATTCTGTTACTTGTTGTCAGAGTCATTCCTGTTACAGCTCCCAGCACCAAAAAGAAAAGTCCCTAAAGCACCAATTTTCCAATCTTAATACCTTCACCAGTCCCTCATTATCATTTTAAAGGAAAAAAATCCTTATTGCACTCCAAAGCAAGTACCCCTCAAGTATGTAACCATTTCTCCCAGCATTTTTAATCATCCATTATTATTTCCTCATTCTGGCATCTTTATTTTCATAATCCCTTCCATTATCTCATGTTTTAGCCTCTGCCTGGATTGGGCTTCCCCTACTTCTTCTGTGGATAAATAACTAATCATCTTTAAAAACCTAATTCAAAAGTCAATAATGTTCCCTGTGAAGCCTTTTTGTTTTTAACCTCAAAGGATTTAATCACTCCTTTCTAAGTGTTCCCATAACATTCCACATATGTCATTATGGAACTGATCATAAATGGATCAGAATTATTTGTCTCTGATTAGAAGTTGAGCTCAGTGGCTCATACCAGTAATCTCAGCACTTTGGGAGGCCAAGGCAGGCAGATTACTTGGGCCCAGGAGTTTGAGACCAACCTGGTCAACATAATGAAAACCTATATCTACAAAAATTGCTAAAAATTAGCCAGGTGTGGTGGCATGTGCCTGTATTCCCAGCTACTTGGGAGGCTGGCATGGGAAGATCACTGGAGCCCAAGAAGCAGAGGTTGCAGTGAGCTAAGATTGCACTCCAGTCTGGGTGACAGAGTGAGACCCTGGAAGAAGAAAGAAGGAAGAAGAAGAAGGAAAAAGGAACAAGAAGAAGAAAAGAAGAAGAAGGGGAGGAGGAGGAGAAGGAGAAGAAGAGGAAGAAGAAGAGGAGGAAAGAGGAGGAGGAGGTGGAAGAAGAAGGAGGAGAAGAAGAACAAGAGGAAGAGGAGGAAGAGGAGGAAGAGGAAGAAGAGGAAGAAGAGAAAGAAGAAGAAGTAGAAGAAGAAGAAGAAGAAGGAGGAGGAGGAGGAGGAGAAGACGACGACGACGACGACGACGACAGCAGCAGCAACGGCTGCTGAGCTCTCATCAGTGGTTCTTCCCCAGGCTGATTCTAAAAAGTCACCCAAAGAACTTAAAAAAAATAGATATTCCCCTGGTAATTTTCTTGAAGGCACTTCACAAGCCAGCATTTGGAAATCATTACCATATTTCTTTTATCTCAAGTATCCAAAAAATAATAAGCAAATACTGTTACTGAAATAAACAAGTATATTTTCATTACCTGTGAAACTAGTCAATCTTTCTCGTTTATAGGATGATTCTTCTAAGTCTTCTGCTATTGATTCACTTGTTGATACACTTGACTTAGAAACTGTACTGCTTCCTAAAACTGACCTTTAATAATGAATAACAACATTAGTCATTTATTTAGATGTCCTTATGGGAAATTAAGTATATAAATTAAACAAATATACTATGATCATATAAGCAAAATAGATAACATTAATTTTTAAACAATGAGTTGGTTTTTAATATTTTTTAAACAAAAAGTTATTTAAAATTTACTTATTTATATCTTTATTTACTTTTTGAGATGAAGTCTCACTCTGTCACCCAGGCTGGAGTGTAGCGGAATGGTATCTACTCACTACAACCTCTGCCTCCCAGGTTCAAGTGATTCTCTTGCCTCAGCCTCCTGAGTAGCTGGGATTACAGGCTTGCACCACCACACCTGGCTAATCTTTTTGTGTATTTTTAGTAGAGACAGGGTTTCATCATGTTGGCTAAACTGGTCTCGAACTCCTGACCTACTGCCAACCTCGGCCTCCCAAAATGCTGGGATTACAGGCATGAGCCACCATGCCTGGGCAAAATGTATTTTAGAGGAAAGACATGTCGACCATGCTTAAAATACTTCAATGAATTACCAATACATTTAGTACAAAAATCCAAAGTATAGTCTATCTATCAAGCGTATTCATCTTCATTATTAGTCGTCCTTTACTTTTTTTTTTTTT